GTCTATGTATGTATGTAGCATTTCTTTCACACCGTACGTAGCCAAATGTGCTAGCTTCAGGTGCATGGGGAAGGACAACACACTAAACGCATGAAGCGGTTCTTAAAAAAATACTTTGAAATCTAGTTTTTAATCTCCGTTAGTCTGTGCATCTTTATGTGAGTCGATGGGTCTCTGTGTGAGTCTATGGTTCTCTGTGTGAGTTTGTGGGTCTCTATGAGTATATGTGGGTCTCTGTGTGAATCTGTGGGTCTCTGTGTGAGTCTATGGGTCTCTATGTGAGTCTATGGGTCTCTATGTGAGTCTGTGGGTCTCTATGTGAGTCTACGGGTCTCTGTGTGAGTCTGTGGGTCTCTATGTGAGTCTATGGGTCTCTGTGTGAGTCTGTGGCTCTCTATGAGTATGTGGGTCTCTGTGTGAGTCTGTGGGTCTCTGTGTGAATCTGTGGGTCTCTACGTGAGTCTATGGGTCTCTGTGTGAGCCTGTGGGTATCTATGAGTCTATGGGTGTCTGTGTGAGTCTATAAGGGGAAGGACGACAAACCTAACGTTAAAGCAGTTCTAAAGCAATAATTTCGATCATTCAAAACTGTATAGCTCCAGTGGCTTCCTAATATCGGAAGGAAGAGCATTTCAGACTGCCGTAACAGCAGCGCATCTGAAAGCGTCACGTGACGATGTGGAGGCCACCGTCTTTGTTCGACGGCCAGCAGCCAAAAGCTGCTGCTGCTGCTACGAGGATGACCGGAGTTCGCGTGACGATGGTTTATGTTGACACCCTGATGAAGAACATCATTTGATGGTCGGCTTTTTAGTCTGCGATGGCGGTAAGTCTCGTCGATTCCTGAACGGCGTCCCATTCAGATTCCCTTAAGTGTGCGGAGCTTTGTGTGTACTCTATCTTAATCTAAGTTGTCTTGTGGTTGTTGTTGTTGTTTGACTTGCATCCTACTGGGATATTTGCACAGGGTTGGTGTACGGTGATTTTTTCTGCAATATTTTGCTGTCTTTTCTTGGATTTTCTGTTTGCACTCAGTCACATAGTCACTTTAAGATGTTTTCTTGTTTATGTTTTTGTTTTTTGTTTGTTGCGGTTGCACCCGATTCAAGAGCCGAATGGCTCACAGGGCTATACCTAATACATGAAACTTGAACTTTATCCACCCCCCCCCCCGTTCTGCATGCGCTTCCTCCAGCTTCTACTTCAGACAAAGATCCCCCATGTAGCCTTAGCAGACAGTTGGGGCAAGTGCTGTTGGCGATGTTTACACAGCACACCAGGTACACATTTGAGGCTGAGTCGAACTCGGGGAGGCGCAGGACCGGTTCAGATAATCGTCACTGGTGTTGGCCGTGAGCGCGAATCGATCTCGGGTCTCCAGGTTTGTAGTGCAGTGCGCTAACTGCTACACTACCGCTCCCCATAAAAAAAAAACGAACACACACGCAATGTAAACTGGTATAGGCCAAATCAGCATTCCCAATGCTGAAAAATGACACTGGCAAATGGCTCAACTGGAATGGCACACAACAGCACCATTAATAATAATTTTGCTAATTTCGCACGTGACGTGGCTTGTTTTTCTTCTTTCCCCCAGCGCAAGATATGAAGGACCAAGAATGACCGTAAGAGCGGCCGAAAGGAAATGATAGAAAAGAGGTCCCTCAGCGGAGGGCTCACGGAGATGGGCTTCTTGCTGCTGCTTGCTGCTGCTATTCGCGATAAAGGATACGTTCTGAGAGATGCCCTTGAATATCACTTTTCGCGGATAATGATATTGGCTGTACGAAAACATTAAACAAAATAAATTACCTCCAATAAATACGCAAATAGTGAATCGCATCGCTTTATCTCTCGTCGCTTTCTCTCATCACTTTCGCTCGATCCAGTAGTCGTGTAGAGTTCCAGATGCGATTCGCGGATGGCCAAAGTCACGGACAGCCAAGTTCGTGAATAACGAGGGATTACCACATTTCATTCTGAATGCACGCACCCGCGCCCGGCCGATGTCTCTCAAACATCGCCGTGTCGATTCGAACTTTACGTAGATGGTTGAGTCCTTACTCTTAGGTTTTTTCGGTAAAGCCACGGAGGTAAAAAAAGTTAATAATAATAATAAAAAAATAACAAAAAATAATAGAAAAAATTATAGAAATGAAATAATAAATCACGACGTTTTGGAGGCAACACAAGCTTCCGTCTACGTTCTGAGAGATGCCCTTGAATAGCACTTTTCGCGGATAATGATATTGGCTGTACGAAAACATTAAACAAAATAAATTACCTCCAATAAATACGCAAATAGTGAATCGCATCGCTTTATCTCTCGTCGCTTTCTCTCATCACTTTCGCTCGATCCAGTAGTCGTGTAGAGTTCCAGATGCGATTCGCGGATGGCCAAAGTCACGGACAGCCAAGTTCGTGAATAACGAGGGATTACCACATTTCATTCTGAATGCACGCACCCGCGCCCGGCCGATGTCTCTCAAACATCGCCGTGTCGATTCGAACTTTACGTAGATGGTTGAGTCCTTACTCTTAGGTTTTTTCGGTAAAGCCACGGAGGTAAAAAAAGTTAATAATAATAATAAAAAAATAACAAAAAATAATAGAAAAAATTATAGAAATGAAATAATAAATCACGACGTTTTGGAGGCAACACAAGCTTCCGTCTTCAGGTGAAACCGTCACAGCACGATTGCTGTTTCAAGTAAAGAGAGAAGTCCCAACACCATGTGAGACTAGGCTCTAAGGAAAGCTGTCTCGGGTGTGGACCAATCAATTTCAAGGACAGTGCATACATGATCAGAGTTGTGTTTTTTGTTTGCATTCCGACTGCAGGTATTGTGGTCTATGTAAACATGACTCCTTGTGAAAAAGATGTCAGTTTTGTTGCCAGATAAAAGGGTAAAAAACAAATTATCAAAGAGTGGCACCGTGCTATGTCATTGGGGGGGGGGGGGGGCGGTGGGGGGAAGAGTGAACAGAGGATTATTAGGGAGGAGTGGGGATTTGTCGGGCACGGCTCGGCTCAGGTCTGTCGCCGACCTCAAGTGAGCCGGCTCAGAGCCACGTGCTCTTAACTCGAGCAGGCCCCGAGGGCAGCAGTGCCAGTGACGTCACTGGCGCGCCTCACAAAGGGCAGCATGTAAGGCTTTCGCGACCAATATTATTCATAATCAACGTTTTTGGGTTTAGATCGCGTTATTTAAAAATGTGTCGTAACCCTCCACCACCCGACACGGCCAATCAGTAAAAAAGTGTCACGTTGACAAAAGACAAATAGTTCACTGCTTTAGCCCACCGGTGTGTTGAAGCGTGAAACCACAACATTTACAATTTGAGTACGACGTTTCTGGCGAATTGCCCAATGATGCTGGATGCAATTACCAGCGAAACGTAATGTTGTGGTTTCACGCTTCAACACACCGGCGGGCTAAAGCAGTGAACTATTTGTCTTTTGTCAACGTGACACTTTTTACTGATTGGCCGTGTCGGGTGGTGGAGGGTTACGACACATTTATAAATAACGCGATCTAAACCCAAAAACGTTGATTATGAATGATTATGAAAGAGCAGCACCTCGGTTAGATTCATCACCCGGGCGGACGCTTCAGTCCGATCGCACCAGAGCCCTGGTCACCAAAGGTAAAGATCCCCCGTGCAGCCTTCACAGACTATTGGAGCAAGTGCTGTTAGCGAGCACCCACGAGGGGGTGGGTGGCCAGCACCACACACGCCCAGCAGCCCTTGTCTCCCGAGTGGCGATGTTTACACACCGCACCAGGTACTCGTTTGAGGCTGAGTCGACCTAGGGGACGGCCCAGGACCGGTTGAAATAATCGTCACCGGCGTTGGCCGTTAGCAGGAATCGAACTCGGGTCCCCGGGTTCGTAGCGCAGCGTGGCGCCAACCGCTACACCGACCGCTCCCCACCACCACCACCACCGTCATCATCGATGGTGGCGGTGGTGGCGGCGCCATCGATGGTGATGGCCACTGTGGAGGCAAACGTCGTCGTCGTCATCGTCACGAACGTCACAAATGCCTCGTGGCCTGCGCTCAGGGGGCGCGCTCAGGGCGGTGGGGGTCACCTGGTCACCTGACAGGAGGTCTTCGTCTGCAAGCGAGAAGATCTCGGCTCAACGTTGGGACGGCGAGTTTCCACCTCCCAGGGCTCGCGGCCGCACGACGGAAACGAGCGACGCTTCGCGACTACGGACAGCACTCCGGATGGGTTTATTGTGTTCAAGTATATATATAGTCATATTGGCTGTAACGGTTACACGTGCGCACTCATGTCGATCTGCGGGTAAACCAACCATCAGCTCGTGTCAAAGCACATTAAGTTGTATCGCTGAGCCGAAGGTTATTGGATTCGGAATGTTTATTTAGGCTGCAGGAGGATTCCGATGAGCCATGAAGCTCTTTTTCACAGACGCCCAGTATGGGCAGGTCAGAAGGTTACGACGGAAAGAGTTCGTGGGTTCGATCCCGACCCTGACGCCTGCTGCATATTTGGAGTTTGCATGTTCTCTCTCTCCGTGGTCGCGTGGGTGTTTTTCTCTCTGGTCTCTCCCTCCACATTGATAATCAAAGACCACGCGTTTACAGTATTTGGCCTCTACACATTTCCACGTGATCAGCCACTTCGTTGAGCTATCGCTTGTGGCCAGGTCGCTTCTAAAAACAATAAGCGATTTTTTTTTCGATTTAAAGCTTTCGTGACTGCAGGGATTCATCTTCTTGGTTCTTTTGGTAAAGTCACGTAGACGGGAAATAATAAAATAATAATAATTAAACAATAAAATACAATTCTCACGACGTTTCGGCCACAACACAAGCAGCCGTCCTCAGGTGAAGAACAGGGCTGTCGGAAAGACAGCGTCCGACGGTGAAAAACAGGACTGTCGGAAAGACAGCATCGGATGCTGTCTTTCTGACAGCCCTGTTCTTCACATGAGGACGGCTGCTTGCGTTGTGGCTGAAACGTCGTGAGAATTGTATTTTATTACGTTTAATTTTTATTATTTTATTATTTCCCTTCTACGTGACTTTACCGAAAGAACCAAGAAGAATAAGCTTATTGCTCAGTGGATTTTACCTGGTAGGATAAAAATAGTTTAGTTGTATTTGTATATTTTTTCATAGGGGATTTGTTTGCCTTTCCTATACTTTGCACTCCTATCCTATTGTGTTGTTGTTATAACGTTCTGACCCCGTGCCCCATTACAGGACATCTGTGAAATAATAACTTCATAGCTCATCGGATTCCTCCTGTAATAAGTTCATATTCTGATTGATTCGCAAGGCAGTCAGTGCATACAGGCTCCATGACCCACATCCTCAAATGTTACCGTGCAGCAGGTTTCCGCAGGCAGTATGATGGCTCGCAAATCTTGGGGGGGGGGGTTGTTGGGGTTTAGCCCACGTGATTATCCGGCCAAATATTGTGTCGTGAGCCCCTCCGCCACCCAGAGGCTTCGTTGGGTAAACGAGAGAGATAGTTGGGAACAACATTGCGATTGTGCTACAGGGTTTATGGGGTGAGTGACGCGATAGGCGTGAAGTGGGAGGGATAGGGTTGTGAGTCGGAATATGGCTATCGTTAGGGATAGGGTTTGCGATGGTTAGATGTGGGGGTAAGGTTAGGCACGGGGTTAATGAAAAGGATAGGGTTAAATATGGGAATGTGTAACGTAAGGGGGTTAGGATAGGGCTAGTTTTATGGGTAGGAATAATATTAGGTGTAGGGATAGTGTTAGGGGTAGGGATAGTGTTTAATGTAGGGATATGGTTAATGTTAGAGATAAGGTTAATGTTATGGTTATGGGTTGGTATAGCATTAGGGGTTGTGATAGGGTTAGTGATGGGGCTCGGGATATGGTCATTGTTATGAATAGAGTTTTAGGCGATGCATAGAGATGTATGGATCGGAAGAGGGGTCCCAGTTGAGCCGGAATAGAGTTGCATCACTCATCTCAACCAGGTGGCCATCGTTCCCGCACACATATGATGATGGTGGTGGTGATGATGATAATGATGGTGGTGGTAAAAATGTGAAAATGACGGTGGTGGTGGTGATGATGAAGATGATGGTGGTGGCGGTGGTGGCGGTGGTTATGATGACGATAATTCTGAGGTTGTGATAATGACAATGATGAAGATGATGGTGGCGATTCCGGGCTTCATTCCTCTTCGCCGGACGACAATATCATTTTCCGGAGCCCAGCCCCGGACAGTTCCAGCACCACAGCCTCCACACGGCAGCGCTTAACCTCTCCCACCGTGGCCACCAGGGCCAGTGCCGTCCTTCGTCGGGGCGTCCTCCTCCGCGGGCCTGTGCACCACCGGCCTCGACGTGGAATTATCCGACCACTCCGACAGCTCCTCGTCCACATCCTCCTCCGCAGAGCGGCCAGCGAGCGGTGGCTCGCGGGGGCTCGCGTCGGGAGGCGGGGAGTCCGGGGGGGAGGGGGCCCGGGACGGGGCAGGAGACGCGACCGGGGTTGGGAGCAGGGACGGCGGTAGGGTGGGGGCCTGTGTGGGGGGGGGGGGGGGTGAATTGACAAGAGGGAGAGAAAAAACCATGAACGTGCACTCACCGTGCGGTTTTGTCCGTGCGGGTGTTCGATGACCACGGGGGATCAGCAAAGCGACGTTGACGCGCCTCGCGGCGCCGTCGCGAGCGAGCGGCGCGCGTAACCTCAAGACATCGAGCTTGCAAACTCATTTCTTGAGAGCTGCCTTTCGTGTTCAGTTGGCTGCTCCTTCCCCCGCACCTCCGACTAGCAGGGTGTATTGAGCGAAAGATGTTCAACGTATCCACCCACCCACACACCCAGACAAGAAAGCCACTGGAGCTATGCACTTTTAAATCTCCGCTGAAAACTAATTTCTTTCAAACCGCATTTTGTGTTTCGTTGTCCTTCCACCGCAGTTGGCTAATGCATGGTGCGAAAGAAGTTCAACACGCGCACAGACCCACCCACCCATGCACTCACCCACCCACAAACCCATGCACTCACTCACCCACCCATGCACTCACCCACCCACCCACCCATGCACTCACTCACCCACCCACCCATGCACTCACTCACCCACCCACCCACCCATGCACTCACCCACCCACCCATGCACTCACCCACCCACCCACCCATGCACTCACCCACCCACCCACCCATGCACTCACCCACCCACCCATGCACTCACCCACCCACCCATGCACTCACCCACCCACCCACCCACCGATGCACTCACCCACCCACCCATGCACCCACCCACCCACCCATGCACTCACTCACCCACCCACCCACCCATGCACTCACTCACCCACCCACCCACCCACTCTCCGCTCACCTATTCACCTTCGCCGCGCGGGTTACCTGCGTGCTGGGCTTGTTCACGTGGCTGCGCAGCCTTTCGAAGGTGCCCCTGAGGCCGGACTTCCTCGCGGCCAACAGGATGGTGCGGATGATCTTGGGCGTCTCCTGCTTGGCCTGCAGAATGGGCCTCGTGTGCGGCTTCCTCACAGGCGGCCCCTTCTTCTCCTTGTTGCTCGTCATCAGCTTCCTGCGAGCGGAGGAGAGACGCGCGTGGGGGGGGGGGGGGGCGGTCGCGAATTTTCCGACGCCTCTTTTCTTCCCACCGGCGGAAAACCGAGCTCGGCGCCGGGGGCCGCTAGCGGGAGGCGCTGTTTGTTCCACTGCGGAAGCCGAGTCGTGCCAGTGAGTGGGCGAGCAGAGGCGTGCGTGGGCGACGCGGCGTCCTCACCGCACGCCGACCGACGGTCGTGCGCGGCGAACGAGCGGAGACGTGCGTGGGTGACGCGGTGATGCCACGTAGGCCTTCGTAGGTGCCGCTCGCTAACAGCTCTTGCCCCAACAGTCTGATAAAGTTCTAGATTTGCAGCTTTCGTGACTGCAAGGATTCATACTCTTAGTTCTTTTGGTAAAGTCACGTAGGTAAAAAATGAAATAAAAATTAATAAAAATAAAACAATAAAATTATTGTTTTATTTTTATTAATTTTAAATTTCATTTTTTTTAATTAATAAAAATAAAACAATAAAATTATTGTTTTATTTGTATTAATTTTAATTTAATTTTTTACCTACCTGACTTTACCGAAATAACTAAGAGTATATAGTCTGCTAAAGGCTATATGGGTGGGGATCTCTGTCTTGTGTGGGGTGTGGGGAAGGGCGGTGGGAGGGATGGCGGCACTCACTTGGCCTTCTTGCGGAGGAGGCGCTGGGACTCGGGGTAGTGCACCAGGATCTCGTTGAGGTCTGCCTTGTTGAGGATGAAGAGGTTGGCAAAGCCGTGCGCCACCACGTTTGCGGTGCGACGGTTGCCGCCGCCCACCGACAGCAGGCTGCGGGGAGGGGGGTGCCAGTGGGGGGAGTGGGGGGTGGTTGGGGGGAGTGCGGACCGGCGGTTAACCCTCGCTCGCTCGAACCGGCTGTGCGCCCGACGGATCGATCGTGCAGCGCGCCGACTCGTTCATGGATTGATCCACCAACTCGTGCGCTCATTCGCTCGCCCGCTCAATCGCTCGCCCGCTCAATCGCTCACTCTCGCACACGCAAAGCACTTCGCGTTCGATCGACGGTAGTCGTCACCCAAAACAAAAAAAATTAACCCGTAAAAACAAAGTTTTTCACTATAAATCCTTTATATGCGTGTTCAATGGGCCACAACCCAGCCCACATTGGTCTTTGAAACGGGCGGCTAGAGTCCTCTCGTCCTCTGGCTTGAGATGGCTGCCACCTATGGGTCAGATGATTGCCTGCCATCATTAAGCAATTGGTAATTAAATATAAAAAAAAAATTACCTAAAAAGTGTAAAATTTTGGGGAAAAAATTTCACGAAAAGAAATTGTCACGCACAACGAGTCTGTGTGCAAAATGTCAGCTCGATTGGATCACGGGAAGTGAGTTAAAAAACGACCGAAAGATTTGCATGGTCGTAAGCGCGCAAGCAAGCAAGTGAACTTAATATAAAGGATTTAAAAACGAGTTTTATTTCACCAGGTGTGTTGCTCTTTTTTCAGAAGCGACCTGGCCATCACAAACGAACAGCTCAACGAAGTTGCTTATCGTCATCGTCATCATCACCACGTGGAAATTTAGAGCAGCCGAATACTCTAAACGCACGTGGAGGGAAAAACCGGAGGACCCAGAGCAAAATCCGCGTGACCACGGAGAGAGAGAGGCACGCAAACTCCAAATATACAACAGCAGACATCGTCAGCGTCGGGATCGAACCCACGGCCTCCTGCATACCGGGCGAGGTAATTAACATCTCCTAGTCACTGTGAAGATAATGATGATGAGAGAGACACGCAAACTCCAAATATACAGCAGGCGTCAGGGCCGGGATTGAACCCGTGCCTTTCTGCATACCAGGCGAGGTAGTTAACATCACCCAGCCACCGTGGCGACCCGAATTGAGTAATTTTCAGCGTACAATTTCGGCATTTGGATGGGGGCTTTTTGCGGCCAAGACCAATTACATTGGATGGGTTTTTTGTTGTTTTTATCTATGGGAGGACGAAATCGCAGAAGCCGGAGGAAACCCACGCAGAACAGGGGGACACACAGACAGAGAGGCGTTTGATTGACGGGAGTCGTTGGTGGTGAACGGCACCGCGTTACGAATAACGCTCACCTGATCTCCCCGAAGACGGCGCCGGCCTTCAGCGTCACGAACACCGTCATGCCGTTCGGTCCGCCCAACACCTGCACCTCTCCGGACTTGATGATGTACATCTCCTTCCCGATCTCTCCCTTTGCAAAAAAAATAATAATGCAAACATGAAGGTCAAGCCCCGTGTAGGTGGCCCACGTGTCAACTCGCACGGCTTGCCCCGTGTTCTTGTCCAGGCAAATTGACTATGAGACATCTCCTTTACCAGTGGCAAAAAATATAGTAATAGGTTTTTACCCTTTCAACTGGTACAAAAACTGACACCTTTGTACAAGGCATCATGTTTGCAATAACCACAACACAAGCAGTCAAAATGCAAACAAAAAGAAACAACTCTGATAATGGTAATGATATGCACTGTCCTTGAAGTTGATTGGTACACACCCGAGACAGCTTTTCTTAGAGGTTTTTACCCTTTCAACTGGTACAAAAACTGACACCTTTATACAAGGCATCATGTTTGCAATAACCACAACAATAAGAGACGGTGCCTTAAATATAGAGAGGGGGGCAGGTTCTCTATGTGAACCGACAGACGGAGAATACGGCAGGCGCGTTTCAGCCGACGTCTGCGCCCTCACCTTCTTGCAGACGTAATCCCCGGGCAGGTAGACCACAGACCTGAGCCGCACCAGCATGTCCTGTAGCAGCTGCTTGTCGCAACCCTGCAAGGTGCATAAAGGCAAAGATCCCCTCGGTGTGTAGCACCAACAGAGACCATCGGGGCAAGTGCTGTTCAGCGAGCGGCACCTTGTGAAGGTCGGCACGGCACACGAGGGTGATGCGGTGTCCAGCGGCACGTCCGGCCGCCTTTGTCTCCCCAGTGGCGATGTTTACACACCGCGCCGGGTACTCATTTGAGGCCGAGTCGGCCTAGGGGAGGCCCAGGTAATCGTCGCCGGTGTCGGCCGTGAGCGGGAATCGAACCCGACCGCTACACTGCCGCTCTCCACTCCACGCAGCCCCCCCCGCCCCCCCCCCCGCCCCCCTCTGCCCCCCCCCCAACTCTGTCGTGAGCCACGCGTCACCTTGAAGAGCTGCACGTTGGTGATGATTTGGTAGTTGACGTCCACGGCGATGTCGAGCCTCATTTTCGCCGGCATCTGATCGAGCAGCTCCGACTCGTCTGCGGAGGCACAGATGCCACGAGTCGCCTTAAACAGCCCTTACTTAGGGGCACGTGCCGTCAACGAGCGCGGCGTCGAACCTCATTCGCGCCCCGCGTAGCCAACCGTGCGAGCCGGAGCGTGCGGGGTGAACGACACCAAAACTTAGACACAGACAGAAGCTCTGATGAAATGTGTTTGTCAGCAGTGGACGTGGCTGTGTGGGTGGGTGGCGGTGCGTACTCACCCAGCATGCCGAGGGCTTGCCACGTGTACTGGTACCAGGTGCGCACGCGGTTCTGCACGTACTTGGGGATGCGATTGGCGTTCATGTATGCCACTGTGCTGTCCACGCAGTCGCGGTACCGCGTCTTCGACGCCGTGGCCGCTCCGATCACGTCGCGCATCTGTGTCGCGCGGACGACGCAGCCAAACCGGCTTCAGCCCCTGAAGCACGCACCCCTCGCCCCGACCTCGCAGAGGGGCGTAAACCCATCGCGCGGCGCTTTCAGACGGACTTCTGCGGCCGTCTGGAACGCTCTTCCTTTCGATATTAGGAAGCCACTTGAGTTGTGCACTTTTAAATCATCGTCTACTTTGGACGAACTCATTTATTTCGAACTGCTTTTGGCGTTTAGTTCGTCGTCCTTGCCGTCGCTACCTACGATTAGCATGGTTGGCTATGTACAGTGCGAAAGAAGTTCAGCATGCATGCGTGGCGAAGTATGGTCAAACAACCCACACGCCTGCCTAGACATACATACATGTGCTCTCTAGCACAGAGAGACTTTGAGTAAAATTTTTGTCTCATGTGTTCATGCTTGTCAGATGCGCTTCTGCGGCCGTCTGGAACGCTCTTCCTTCCAATATTAGAAAGCGACTGGGAGCTATGGCACTTTGTGAAACCACCATCTAGATCGACAAAACTCATTCCTTTCGAACCGCTTTTCGCGTTGGGTTTGTCGTCCTTCCCACCGCCACCTCCAAAGTCCAACGTACGTACACCGTCACAGGGCGAGCGAGAACAGGAGAACGGGAGAACGAGCCACCGGGCGGGAGACCGAGGGTCGCCTGCCACGTGGCTCGTCGACCCCCCTCCCCCCACGGCCCGATCGACCGAGCACAATTCTCGGCGGCAACAGGCGACGGCTTACCTGACCGATGAGCACCGAGAAGGCGAACACGCCCGTGAAATAGTTGCACCCCTGGAAGGCGATTTCGAAGAGGTTCTCCGGGTCGGGCAGACCGCCGATCGTGATCAGCGTCTTGATGGCCCAGAAGTAGCAGCGGATGTAACTGCGAGGGGGGGGGGGGGGCGATACAAGCCCGGCGGAGGGGTGGGGGTTCAAGGGGGAGCGCGAGAGAAAGCGACAGAGCGAGTGCAAGCAAGCGAGCGGGCGGGCGAGGGGCTTGGGGCTTGCCCCGGCCGCACAACCGCGGCGGGAATAGGGGATGCCGTGCCCCGATGTTGCCCGCTTGGGGAGGCGTTTAACCGGCGATCGTCGCCGAATGTGGGCGACGTCGGAGGAGAATCGACTCGTCTCCTCTGCGTGCCTCTGGGCGTCTCCGCGAGTCTCTGGAGTGTCTCCGCGTCTCTCTGTGGGTTCACTGCACGGTCCACGGTTTGGGTTGCGTGCCCACAGTCGCACTACCGCGGCTTGTCGTTAGTGTATCTCTCTGTATGTGTGTCTCTATGTATGTGTGTCTCTCTGTTTGTGTGTCTCTATGTATATGTGTCTCTCTGTTTGTGTGTCTCTATGTATGTGTGTCTATATGTATGTGTGTCTCTCTGTATGTGTGTCACGGCCTACCACCACCAGTGACGATTTATCTGAACTGGTCCTGGGCCTCCCCTAGGTCGACTCAGCCTCAAACGAGTACCTGATTGAAAACGAATTTCTGACCAGGTTGAAAACCCATTTCTTTAGAGCTGCCTTTCGTGTTTCGAGTGCTGCGCGTGCCGGCACCTCCGATCAGCACGGCTTGGCGACCGTGCTGAAGCGAAAGAGGGGTCAACGTGCGCGCAGGAATGGTGCGGTGTGTAAATCGTCGCACAACCGGGAAGAGCACAAAGACGGCCTGGGGCGCAGTGCAGGCCCCCTCCAACCCCTCGCGCGTCTTCATCGGTGCCGCTTCGCGAGCAGCAAAGTGTAGGGAGGCTACGCGGGGGGCAGGGGGGGCTTTGTCTCTGTGGTGGAGGGCTCACTGGTTGCCGAGGCCGTTGTAGACCCACTTGGTGGAGCCGATCCCCTCGTAGTCGGAGGCCCAGTAGTAGAGGCACGCGTTGAGGTGGAGGCTGTAGAGCAGGTAGCCGGTGGTGCGGATCACTCTGTGAAGGTCGCAGCAGCAGCAGCAGCAACAGAAGCAGCAGCAACAGCAGCAACAGAGGACGCACCAGTAGCAGCAGCAGTAGCAACAACAGCAATAGCAGCAACAGCAGCAGCAACAACAACAGCAGAAGACGCACCAGTAGCAGCAGCAGTAGCAACAACAGCAATAGCAGCAACAACAACAACAGCAGCAGCACCAGCAGCAACAACAACAACAGCAATAGCAGCAGCAGTAGCAGCAACAACAGCAATAGCAGCACCAGCAGCAACAGCAACAACAGCAGCAATAGCAGCAACAACAACAACAGCAGCAGCAACAGCAATAACAATAACAGCAACAACAGCAGCAGCAATAGCAGCAGCAACAATAGCAGCAGCAACAGCAATAACAACAACAACAGCAACAGCAGCAGAAACAGCAGCAGCAATAGCAGCAACAACAACAGCAGCAGCAACAGCAATAACAACAGCAACAGCAACAACAACAGCATCAACAACAGCAATAGCAGTCACAGCAGCAGCAACAGCAGTAACAACAGCAGTAACAACAGCGACAGAAGCAACAGAGGAAGCAGCCCTCTCTGTCATCTGCACGCCGAGTGGGACACTGCAGTTCCAGACCAACCTGCACCACGTCCCAGCGAGCAGCGAGTTCGCAGGTTCCAATCCGGCGGGCTGCCCTGGATAATGCCGCGTTGCGTACGCGCGCGCGCTAGCCGTCAGCCTCTCAGTGGACGTTAAAAAATAAGCGCATGGGGATCATTCGAAATGTGGGTGCCGTCGTCCCGAGCACTGTAGCCAGTAATAGAAGATTCCGAGTGAAAAGGAACGCTCCTGATTTATATTATTAGGTTTTTTCGGGGCGGCGGTGGCTACACTGCTGCACGTGACTGCCCGCGATCCAGCAACTGTGAAGGCGTCACCCACACGGATGTCGCAGCGAAAATGTGGACTCCACCTGTGCCACCTGCACGGGGGAATAGAGTGTTTCCCCCTCGCACGCACGCGTCGGTTCCACCCTCTGGGCGCTTCGGTTTCCACCCCGCACGCGTCAAAACTCGTGGATCGGCTGAAAGCATCTGGATATACGGAGGACCGCAGAGCTTGGCCAATCGTCGGTAGCGCCGGCTCCTCGTCACCGCGTGGCTGCTGCTGCTGCTGCTGCTCGAGGCAGAGGGGCGCTACGAGTTGATTTCAACTTCTAAATATAATTCCGAAAGGGGCTCGTGCCTCACCGGTAGATGAACGCTTTCGTGAGGATGGCTTCCAGTCTGTCGTTGAACTCAAAAAACGTCTTGTACTGCAACCAAACAAAGACAAAGATCCCCCGTAAAGCCTGAACAGACTATTAGGGCAAGTGCTGTCAGCCAGTAGCACCTATGATGGCCGGCACGGCACACGAGGGAGTGGGTGGCCAAAATCACGCCCGGCCGCCTTTGTCTCCTCAGTGGCGATGTTTACACACCACACCAGGAAGCCTTTTGAGGCTGAGTCGACCTAGGGGAGGCCCATGACCGGTTCAGATAATCGTCACCGGTATTGGCAGTGAGTGTGAATCGAATTCAGGTCTCTGCCGGGTTCGTAGTGCAGCGTAGTTGACCGCTACACTACCACTCTCCCCCCCCCCCCCCCCACAGACACACACACAGACAAAGATCCCCCGTATAGCCTTAACAGACTGTAGGGGCAAGTGCTGTTAGCGAGCACCTACGAAGGCCGGAACGGCACACAAGGGGGTGGGTGGCCAGCACCACACCCGACCGCCTTTGTCTCCCTAGTGGCGATGTTTACACACCGCATCAGGTACTCATTTAAGGCCGAGTCGACCTAGGGGAGGCCCAGGACCGGTTAAGATAATCGTCACTGGTGTTGGCCGTGAGCGGGAATCGAACTCGTGTCGCTGGGCTTATACCACTTCACAGACACACACACAGACACATTCACATACGCGGCAGGGATGGTATACTTCCAACGCGCAAATCATTTCTATCATTCGCTTGGGTGGCAGGGCGGTGGCAGTGACACAGTGGGTGACCATACCTGTCAACCCCTTATCAGTGCCCTTATTAGAGACCAATTCAGACCTTATCGGTCACACCGTGCCAACCTTATAAATCTCAACGTTCGCCCTACAAAGATCCCATCGCAAGGGAGAAACACAGACAAATAGACACGGTTTATTTTGTGTGCCCATATTGAAACAGCTGTAAGCCGCACGGACCTGAAAACTCAATTTCCCTGCACAAGAATAACGCGGTAAACCGTGTGGGTTGACACGGTGTGGGTGACACTCACAGCACGTAGTGGCCTGGGTTCGATTCCCGACTCGGATGCCTTACTCTCTGGAGTTTGTGTGCTTTCTATCGATCTGTCTCTCCCCCCCCACCCCCCGCGTTCTGCGTGGATTTTCCTCCGGGGTTCTGCAGCATCCTCCGATCGATAAAAAGAAGCGTGCCGTTTAGCCAGTACCTAGACTCAAAATCCCCAACTGCCCAAAAAATATACACCGCAAATGACTCTACTAAACTATAAACTAATTTTTATTTCACCAGGTAAGGCCCCACCGACCTAGGTAGCTATTTTTCAGAAGCGACCTGGCCATTGCAAGTGATAGCTCAACGAAAATGGCCTCATCATCATCATCATCGCGTGGAAATTCATAGCGGCCAAATAACTCTAAAACGCGTGGTGACGTTGATTCGAAATGTGGAGGGAAAACACTGGAGGAAAAATCCACGCTACCACAGGGAGGGAGAGAGAGAGAGACACGCAAACTACAAATATACAGCAGCAGGCGTCGGGATCGAACCCACGACCTCCTGTATACCAGGCGAGGTAGTTAACATCTCGCCACGTGCAACGTACTAAACGTGGCCGGAGATGTGTGCAAAAACAAGGGCTTCACGTCCTCGTGGGATTTCTCCAGGATAAATTAAAGGGGCCCCGCCGTGCAGAATGATTCTGACCCTCAAGCAGCGTGGCAGACGGAAGAGCGGATTGAAGCCGAATTGCAAGTACAGCAGGTCCAACGGCAGCAGCGATAGCATGTCCATCTGCAAGAGAGGCGGGCGGGGGGGGGGGGGGGCGCGAGACAGTGAAGGCAAAGAGTAAATAATTTTAACACGTAGGGCTTTTGCGACCGATGTTATCCATAAGAGGGTTAAATTTCGATTTAAAGCATTCGTGACTGCAGGGATTCATCTTCTTGGTCTTTCAGTAAAGTCACGTAGAAGGGAAATAATAAAATAATAAAAATAAAACATTATTAAATAATTCTCACGACGTTTCTGCCACAATGCAAGCAGCCGTCCTCAGGTGGAAACCAGGTCTGTCGAGGCGACAGCGTCTGAATGAAACAGCACACGTGCTTGGAAAAAAAGAGTAAGTAATTTTAACACGTAGGGCTTTTGCGACCGATGCTATCCATAAGAGTGTTAAATTTCGATTTAAAGCTTTCGTGACTGCAGGGATTCATCTTCTTGGTTCTTTCGGTAAAGTCACGTAGAAGGGAAATAATAAAATTATGATCATAAAACATAATAAAATAATTCTCACGACGTTTCGGCCACAACGCAAGCAGCCGTCCTCAGGTGAAAACCAGGTCTGTCGAGGCGACAGCGTCTGAATGAAACAGCACACGTGCTTGGAAAAAAAGAGTAAGTAATTTTAACACGTAGGGCTTTCGCGACCGATGCTATCCATAAGAGGGTTAAATTTCGATTTAAAGCATTCGTGACTGCAGGGATTCATCTTCTTGGTTCTTTCGGTAAAGTCACGTAGAAGGGAAATAATAAAATAATAAAAATAAAACATAGTAAAATAATTCTCACGACGTTTCGGCCACTCCTGCCGTGGCAATCGCGCCACTCCTCGCCAGCTCTCCGCGTGGCCTCTCCCTTCTCTATTCTGTCTCCACTCCCGATCCCCTTCCGGTTCTCCCCCCTTATATCCTCCCCCTCACGTGACCCTGACTCCTCCTCCTCCTCCGCACGTGACCCTGACTCCGCCCACACTCACGTGACCCTGTCCTTGCTCGCATTACATCTACGTGACTTTACCGAAAAAACCTAAGAATATGAATCCTTGCAGTCACGAAAGCTGCAAATCTAGACGGGGAGAATCGCGAGGATGCGGGCGCTGGGGTGGCCGGTCGCAGCACCACGCGGGGTCACGGGGCCCATGACAGCGGCTGGTGGAAGGGGAGGAATTTTGCGGGGGCGTCGAACGAGCGTGGGTTGGTTACCTTGAACTTCTGAGACTTCACGTAGTTGTTTCTCATCTCTTTCGGGTCGGTCTGAAAGGCAAAAAAAAAAATGGCGACGACGAATGACACCACGTGAAGCTGCGAGGTTGAGGCCCCCGTCTGTCCGTCTCACGCACAAGCGGAGAGTCAGCCCACGATCATGACCCCATCCCCCCACCACCCCCCCCCCCCCACCGACTCACGATGATGTCGCCTTTGCTGATGAACTGCAGGCGCGTCTGGAAAAAGGCCATGTCGACGATGTAGATGACGTCGCACGCGTAGTCGGTGACAAGCCACGTGGCGAGGTTGTCGGCCGTGACGTAGGGGAAGGTGCAGCGCACGGGGATCAGCCAGCAGTTCCAGTGGAACGCCAGCGCCACCAGCAGCAGCCAGAGCACGTAGAAATGGTCTACGTGGGGCCCGCACGGAAACAGATCAATAAGAGTCTTTGGTTCTTTTCGTGACTTTACCGTAAAGAACCAAAGAGTATGGATCCTTGCAGTCACGAAAACTAAAACACTAGAATGCTACAATGAGGTTCGGTACAAGTGCGAATAAGATTGAAATTTTGGTCGAATATCAACATGAACACACCACCGATTAGCACGGTTGGCTACGTATGGTGCGAAAGAAGTTTCCGCGTACATAACACCAAAAAGGTTAGGTAGAGGTGCAAGTAAGATTAATACTTTGGTCTAATGGGGACACGCAGAGGGGGAGTCAAAGGGTCAGGGTACAAAGCTTGGATGAGCTGCAGGCCGTTGCCACTGAAACCAGCCGGGTAACTGGCCACACGGAATTTTCCGTGTAACAAATAATGCTTTGAAAGAGCAGAAGACATTCAAAGTGTAGATTAGTAATCGATATAAACAGCTGCACATACAATAGATCGCGACACACAAGAGGTGGAATTTGAGGATTTGCGGTGCACTTATTCAGATACCCATAGACTAAAAGAGAAAAAACCTGTAAATACCCTTAGACCTATAGACTCACGTAGAGACGCAATAGAATCATAATCTGTGCATTTGTGTGTGTCTTCGTGGGGGAGCGTTGGAAGAATGGTTGGCACAGTGCGCTACGAACACCGCGACCAATACCAGTGGCGAATATTTGAACCGGCCCTGGCGCCTCCCCCTAGGTCGACTCAGCCTTAAACACGAGTACCTGTTGTGGTGCGTAAACATCGCCAGTGGGGAGACAAAGGCGGTCGCGAGTGGTGGCGCTCAAACCCTCGCCCGTCGTGCGATGGCGCCGGCCCACACCCGCATGTGGACTCGGTGAGCGGCACCTGCCGCCACCGTCGGGTCAAGGCTGCACGGGTGACCTCTCGCCCTCGTCACCTGTGTAGGGGTCGATGCTCTTGGGGATGCGCAAGCGGCGCATCCAGGGCCTCCGCTTGAGGCTGCAGCAGAGCATGGTGCACGGCTCCTCCACCTCATCAAGCCCGGCCGCCGCCACCGCCGCCTCGACCTTGGGGCCAACCTCCGCCGGGGTTGGCGTAGGGGCGGCCTTGACCGGTGCTGTGGATGGGGGCGGGGCAGGAAGTGAGGTAGGTTACCGCCCTGTGACGTCACACTACACCGACCACGTGCGGAGGAAGTGGTGGCCTACGCCGCCACGTGGCATTGAGACGTTATATTCTTGGGTTTTTTTCGGTAAAGTGACGGTTCCACCTGAAGACGGAAGCTTGTTTTGCCTCCGAAACGTCGTGATTTTTATTTTATTTTTATTTTACTTTTATTAATTTAAATTTTTTACCTACGTGACTTTACCGAAAAAACCTAAGAATATGAATCCTTGCAGTCAAGAAAGCTTCAAATCTAGAATTTAGACATTATGTTTTGAAGCAGTTTTTTGTTGTTTTCGATTTAAAGCTTTCGTGACTGCAGGGATTCATCTTATTGGTTCTTTCGGTAAAGTCACGTAGAAGGGAAGTAATAAAATAATAAAAATAAAAATAAAACATAATGTTTTATTTTTAAAAATAAAACATAATGTTTTATTTTTATTATTTTATTACTTCCCTTCTACGTGACTTTACCGAAAGAACCAAGAAGATTTTTTGTTGTTGTTGCATTGCAGTAACTTTCGTGGGTTACACGGTGTCGAGATGTCAACTACCTCGTCACAAGGGGGGGGGGGTAGGGGTGATTCACGGGAGTGGGGGCGACTCAGATGGTAAGGTGGGGGGGTGCATCTCACAGGGTGGGGGTGCGACTCACAGGGCGGGAGGCTGTCGTCGGAGAGCGACTCGTCGGGGTCGATGATCTTCTCTTTGACCTGCTCGGTGCGAGTGCGGAACTGTCGCGAGAGCTCGTGCAGCCGCTCCGTCACCGACACGCTGCACTGGCTCGACAGCGAGTCGGCGCGCGAGAGGCTGCGGCGCGGGACACGCGGGGACGACGCGGGCGGACACGGGGACACGGAGACATGGGGACACGGGGACACGGAGACACGGGGATGCGGGGACACGGAGACACGGGGACACGGAGACACGGGGATGCGGGGACACGGGGACACGGAGACACAGAGACACGGGGATGCGGGGACACGGGGACACGGGGACACGGAGACACGGGGACACGGAGATGCGGGGACACGGGGACACGGAGACACGGGGACACGGGGATGCGGGGACACGGGGACACGGGGACACAGAGACACGGGGATGCGGGGACACGGGGACACGGGGACACGGAGACACGGAGATGCGGGGACACGGGGACACGGAGACGCGGGGACACGGAGACACGCGGGGACAAGGAATGTGGGGCACGGGATGCGAAATGTGGAGACACTGTGAAATGCGACGCGGGACGTGGGAATGCGGGGACATGAGACACGGGGGACACGGGTTGACACGAGATGACTGGAATTCCCGCGATGGATAAGGAGAGGGTGGTGGTGTCACCTTCGGAAGGTGCAGCCCTGGGCGTCCACCTGCTCATCCCCCGTCTGCTGCGACGCATCGTCCACACTGCTCGTAGGACTCGAGAACTTGCGTCTGGCACGGCGCCGGAGGGGAGGGGGGGGGGGCGGTAGGTGCGAGAAGCTCTGTTAGAGACAGCGGACATCGCGGGGGTGCGCGCGCGCTCGCCGCTCGTCGCAAGAGGTTCGCGGTTTTTCGCCAGCCGCGGGCAGCCCTGGCAAATGACGCCTGGGGTGGCGTGCGTTGGGCAGTTCAGTAGGAGCACGGGGTCAGAACGTTACAGCAGCAACGCAATACAAACACGCGATAGCAAATTATAGGTAAGATGAACAAATCGATTTAAAGCTTTCGTGACTGCAGGGATTCATCTTCTTGGTTCTTTCGGTAAAGTCACGTAGAAGGGAAGTAATAAAATAATAAAAATAAAACAAAATAAAATAATTATTTTCTTATTTTATTACTTCCCTTCTACGTGACTTTACTGAAAGAACCAAGAAGGTGAACAAATCGCTTGCAAAGACATGTACACCCAACGGTGGACGTCACTGATCTCATGCCGTCATTGCGTGATTATTGCACGTGCAAGGATTGTGTGGCATTACACGTGCAGAGATTGTGTGGCATTACACGTGCAAGGATTTTGTGGCATCGCACGTGTAGAGATTGTGTGGCAACACACGTGCAGAGATTGTGTGGCATTACACGTGTAGAGATTGTGTGGCATCACACGTGCCGGGATTACACGCAGCAATCGTCACACCCAATTGTGGCACACTGAAGGCCACTCAGGTGCCGAGTCACCTTCGCGTGCCCCACAGGGGCAGCTGCCACTGAGGGTGCCCTAGCTGAAACCACACACAGCAGCAATGATCGCCTACTACTGGCAGACTACATCTTCACTTGCAGGCCTGGTGCTTAGACACCTCACGTGCCGCACAGGGGCAGCTGCCACTGGGGGTGCCCTTTCACACGTGCGTACGTTGAACTCTTTCGCACCGTGCGCCAGCCCACCGTGCCAATCGGAGGTGACGGCAAGTCGTTTATCGCGTGTAGGAGGGCGGCTCTGTCAACAACAACAACTCCGCTGCCGTTGATTCTCTCACTCGGGGAGAAATCGTTGTTGCTCTGCAGGCGGAACATCGGAGGCAGCCGCCGCTGCTCACGGTATCATCGCTATCCTCCTGTAGCACGGAACACTCTGGGTAATCAGCTCGTTTGCGGAGTAATACAATGGCAAGATAGTGTCCATTGTGAATATTTCCTGTTGTTGCTGTTGTTGCCACGTACTTAATTCTCTAGGATCGAAAGAATATTCTGGCGAACGACGAATTACGTCGCCAGGAGCACAACGTTGAAAAGTTGGAGAAATTTTCAAATGAACCGCGCCAGTCTCATCTCTTTGGAGTCGCTATCTACAATACGCATAGCTGTTATTATATTATAATCGATTATGTCATCAGAACTTCGTATTCGGCCGTTTCAATTCCATTCGATGTTCATTTGTTGCACGGGAAATCCCTTGTAGCCAGTTACACAGCTAGTATCGGTGGCAGCAGCAATCCAGTAACGATCGAGTTATTAATAATATGTATATGTTTTACGCATTTCTGGCAATAAAACAGGTGATAAGATACTCAAACAACCAAATTAGATACTCTTTGGTTCTTTCGGTAAAGTCACGTAGGTAAAAAAATAATAAAAGTTAAAAAAGAAAATTTAAATCACGACGTTTCGGGCGCAACACAAGCACTCGTCATCAGGTGGGACCACCACAGCCAAATTTATTTAATTTTAATTTTTACGAATTTTTTTACTTTTATTATTTTTTAACTACGTGACTTTACCGAAAGAACCAAAGAGTATGGATCCTTGCAGTCACGAAAACTTCAAATCTAGAATGAACCAAATTAGATACTTTTTGCATGGCATCAAGTCTGCATTCACCACACACACACACACAGCACTTGTAGCAAAACAAACGGAGAGTGTAAAAAACTACCCTTGTTGTTTCATCGTTTTGAGAGTGGACAAAAAGGTCCCAGAGACAGGAGTTATTGTTGGGGTGCGCAGGAGCCAAGCCAGCAGCCAGCCAGGACACTCTGCCACTTTCTGTCAAGAAGCGCCTCCAACAACGGGAGCGCTGGACAGCTGATCGAGTGCCAGCAATTCCTGAGATCCTTAGGGCTGAACGATTAATCGATTTCAAATCGATTCATCGCAATTTCAAACAATGCGATTAGCAAATCGCAAAGGCTGCGTTTTTTTGCGATTTGAAAAGTCCTATAACTTTCTTATTGGAATTATCCACGCCGCCGCGCTACGAACTCGGCGACCCGAGTTCGAATCCCGCTCACGGCCACCAACACCACTGGTGACGATTGATCTGAACCGGTCCTGGGCCTCCCAGAGGTCGACTCAGCCTCAAATGAGTTACCCGGTTGCGGTGCGTCGCTAACGTCGCCACTGGAGAGACAAAGGCGGCCGGGCGTGGTGCCGGCCACCCACCCCCTCGTGTGCCGTGCCGTGCCGGCCATCACAGTTACCACTCGCTAACAGCACTTGCCCCAACAGTCTGTTACAGGCTACACGGGGAGCGGGGGGGGGGTAGGATATTTTGTCTTTGGCTTTAGAGTAGTGCATCTGCTGCGGGCGGGCGGGCGGGACTGTCTGTCAGCGCACCACGTGACGGATTAAGAGCTCGGGTCCCATCTCTCACGTTAAGCCGCTCAGCTCCCAGCGTTTAGCTCCGACGCGGGGGGCAAGGGGGGGGGGGCCACAGCACGTGGCTGTGTAATCTAAAAGGTCACCCGGACGGTATGGGGGGCGGAGGGGCGGTGCTTGGTCTAGCTGTGTACGAGGTAATGGGGTCGACAGTCTGAGGCTGTCTTGGCCGTCGTTGATTAAGGGGACCAGCGCCGTCTCGCATTCACCTCCCAGTGTCGGGTGAAGCTAGTGCCGGGGCCTGTAGCATGTGCTATAACTTATAAAGGGACCCTGATTGTTTTTTTTTTAGACACGTAAATATTAAAACACGCATTTTTAACTTGTGCAGTAAAGTAATTGTATTTTTTCGTTTGCTATACAGCCGGATAACACGACGAATCCATACCGTAAACACCCAGTCGTTCGTAAAAGTCGAAGGCGGTATAGTACTATGGGGCCGTCCATAAATGACGTCACGCGATTTTGGACGATTTTTGACCCCCCCCTCCCCCCCTCGTCACACGGCGTCACAAAAAGTCAGCCCCCCCCCTCAAATATGACAGTCACAAAGCTCTGCCCCCCCCCCCCCCCCATTTTTTAAATAAAACATGCTTCAAATCGCTTTAAACTATTGTCAATGTGGTGCGTATTTAATGTGGCGCTGCACTCTGATGTTGTAGGAGTGTTGTTGTAACTATTATATATTTATTTAAAGTTGCGCATTTTGATGTGACGTCACATTGTCACCCCCCGCCCCTCGTCACACATCGTCACAAATGTCTGACCCCCCCACCCACCCCCAGGTACATGACGTTATTTACGTACTATAGTAATAGAGCAAGTGCAGAATCACTGAACGGGAATTGATACGTTTGGGAGCATACTCTTTGGTTTTTTCGGTAAAGTCACGTAGGTAAAAAATAAAAGAAATAAAAAATTAAAACAATTACATTCAATCGCGACGTTTCGGGCGCAACACAAGCGTCCGTCTTCAGGTGGGGACAACGTAGCAAAAGCACAACCACCTGTGTTGCGCCCGAAACGTCGTGATTGAATTTAGTTGTTTCCATTTTTAATTTATTTTATTTTTTACCTACGTGACTTTACGGAAAAAACAAAGAGTATGGATCCTTGCAGTCACGAAAACTTCAAATCTAGAAGTTTGAGAGCGTTTAGCGCGGAGGCCCTTTGAAAGTGCGGGGCCCGTAGCTACTACTATGTAGTAGTAGTAGCTACACTACTGCACATGTAGCTACTACTACTACACATATAGCTACTACTACATGTGTAGTAGTAGCTACATTTGTCGCCACTTTGGCTACGTGGATCATCCGGCACTGGGTCCTCCCCTGGGTCGACTCAGCCCTCAGTGGAGTCGCTGGTTGCATTGCGGCTCTTGAAACAGTGAGAGCAGCAGCAACAACAACAACAACGTCAACACAAAACGAACTTGATATTTGTTTTTTTACCCTTCTATCTGGCAACAAAACTGACACTTTTTTTTTACAAGGAGTCATGTTTGCATAGACCACAATACCTGCATCCATAATGCAAAAAAAAAACATAACTCTGATAATATATGCAAAGGTGTCAGTTTTGTTGCCAGATAGAAGGGTAAAAAACCAATAATCATATTTTTTACTGGCAAATGAGGTTCCAATGATGTAAAAACGGAACTTGTTCTGTTGTTTTGCCGACAATCTGGTCACCGAGGACGCGACGGGGGCGAGGGGGTGGTAGCAAGGGGTGGGTTGACCATACGTCACCACAGCGTGGACATGGGTTGACCATACTCCACCACGCGTAGGACATGGGTTGACCATACTTCAGCACACATGGGCATTCGTGAACAATATTACGATTCGTATAGTTCGATGCTTGGCTCGGATCGCCCCCCTCCCATCCCCGCTCCTTCTTCCATCCGTCTCAGTCACATTCATTCGGTCTAACACGTAGGAGGTTCACGCAACCAATATCATCCATAATATAGGTGGTTTCTTTTTGGGGAGTTAGATCACGTAAATATATAAATGTTGCGTCGTTAAACCCGCCACCATCCGACACAGCCAATTTGTAAGGTTTGCAACGTAAACAGAACGTGGCTAATTCGTCACTAGCGCAGCACTAGTGTGTAGTGTATAGTGTAGTGTATAGTGTAGTGTATAGTGTAGTGTATAGTGTAGTGTATAGTGTAGTGTATAGTGTAGTGTATAGTAGTGTATAGTGTAGTGTATAGTGTAGTGTATAGTGTAGTGTATAGTAGTGTATAGTGTAGTGTATAGTGTAGTGTATAGTGTAGTGTATAGTGTAGTATACTAGTACAGCACACCGGTGCGTTGGAGAGCCAAGCCATAACATTTAAAATCCGAGTCCGACGTTTCGCCAGTAATTACAATGAGCTTCATCGGGCGGACAGCCACATCTGTGGAGAAGTCCACCTGTTACGTTCCTTAAATAGATTTTTTTTTTTAAAAAACCGTGTATTCAAACATGATTTGAAGCTTTCGTGACTGCAGGAATCACTCTTTGGTTCTTTCCGTCACCGTGTATGATCCACATTCGTTGAGTCGCCACGTGACCGAGGGTGTTCCACGTGCCCCGCACAGAGCCCCCCCCCCTCCCCCGCTCAACTTCCACCCCCACAGCCATCGCGATGCGACGGAGCCGTTCGTCAGGCTGCGTGTGTCCGAGGGTCCATGCGGTGTCAGAAAGTTCCACGCCACGGAACTCCGGACAGCACGGGGGTTCCATTGACCCACCGCTCACGGGCCAACACCCGGTGAACGATTGTCTGGACCGGTCCTGGGCACTCCCCTAGGTCGACTGAGCCTCAAATGAGCACCTAATTGAAGACTAATTTCGATAGATTGAAACTTCATTTCTTGAGAACTGCTTTTTTGCGTTGAGGCTGTTGTCCTTCAACAGCACCTCCGATTATACACTGGTCAACACACTTTTTCTGGCATAAGGTATTCCAACGGGTTTAAGGTAATTTTGGGGTGCCGATTCCAAATCTGGCATCAGTTTTTGTCTATCACTTCAGGTTTTTGAGATATCAAATATTGCATTTTTAATAAAAACCGCACAGAAAAATATTAAATAAATGTGGATATCTACATAAAATGAGATTATAAACACACTATCCTAGAAATACAGCACCATATTTTAACACTAAAGCAGTCACTGACTCGCAACAACTTGCAATCATAAGTGACAGAGTTAATTTCGGGTAAAATCAGTGAAAATGGGGTATGCCGATAGCATAAAATGAGATGTGATAGAGCAAATCTGAGATCAGATTTGGAATCAGCATCCTGAAATTAGTCTAGAACAGCTGCAAAAGTCCAGGCCACAAAAAAATGGGTTTTTTTTGTGGACCGGCGTTAAGAACGGTTGGCTACGTACGGTGCGAAACAAGTTGAGCATACACGCATACATGGTGCGGTGTGTAAACATCGGCAGTGGGGAAACAAAGACGGCCGGGCGTGGTACTGGCCACCTACTCCCTCGTGTGCCTGTGCCGGCCTTCATGTGAATCTTTGTCTTTGCTGAGCACTGCTGTCTAATAATAGCCATGCTCTAGATAATAATAATAATCTCACGGGCTTCCATGCGAATAACTGCCCCCATCACTGAATCCTGGGGATAACGAGGCAGCCGGTCATTGCCAACAGATGGACTCCGTGGTGGCTGGATGTTATCTCCCTCTCCTGCTATGCATGAGGTCGTGGGTTCGATCGCGACCCCTTGGCGCCTGCTGTATATATTTGGAGTTGGTGTGTCGATGTGGATTCTTCTCCGGGTCCTCAACGCCCACAAATTAAAAATCAACATCACGCGTTTCGAGTGTTTGGCCGCTTTTGAACTTCCACGTGATGAAAAGCCACTGATCGTTGCTACCGTTTGGGGTAGCCGGGTCGCTTCTGAAAAAGGGTAAAACTCATAATTTTTCATACTTTGATAGTGGGAAAAAGTTCCCATGATACAGCTGCTGCTCACCCCGAGCTATAAGCGCTCTGATGGTGGCATTGCCTTTGTGCTGTCCGCCTTTTGGCGTTCTCTGGTCTGGAACTGATGGCGAAACAAGGCCATGAAGAAGGTTGTCTCTGCTGTAGGCCAATCAGTTTCAAAGACAATGCATATATTGCCATGAGCATGTCTGTTTGCATGTTTTTGCCGCAGGTACGTGTGGTTAGTGCAGACTTGATGCCTTGAAGTAGGCGTCTAGTTGGTTGTTTGAACATCTTAAAACAACTCCTGTTTTATTCCCAGAAGGGGTAAAGCCCATTCTAATTGGTTACCATCATTTTGAGAGCACTGGCAACAGAGGTCCCATAGATGGCACCTTGCCCTGCTCCATAAAAGCGATAGAGGAATTGCCGCACGGTGGTGAGTTAGTTGATGAATGAGTGATGGGGGTGAGTGAGTGGATGAATGAGTGATGGGGGTGAGTCAATGGGTGAGTGAGTAGATGAATGAGTGATGGGGGTGAGTGAATGAGTGAGTGAGTGGATGAATGAGTGATGGGGGTGAGTCAATGGGTGAGTGAGTAGATGAATGAGTGATGGGGGTGAGTGAGGGAGTGGATGAATGAGTGATGGGGGTGAGTGAATGGGTGAGTGAGTGGATGAATGAGTGATGGGGGTGAGTAAATGGGTGAGTGAGTGGATGAATGAGTGATGGGGTGAGTGAGGGAGTGGATGAATGAGTGATGGGGGTGAGTGAATGGGTGAGTGAGTGGATGAATGAGTGATGGGGGTGAGTCAATGGTGAGTGAGTGGATGAATGAGTGATGGGGTGAGTGAATGGGTGATGAGTGGATGAATGAGTGATGGGGGTGAGTAAATGGGTGAGTGAGTGGATGAATGAGTGATGGGGTGAGTGAGTGAGTGGATGAATGAGTGATGGGGGTGAGTAAATGGGTGAGTGAGTGGATGAATGAGTGATGGGGGTGAGTAAATGGGTGAGTGAGTGGATGAATGAGTGATGGGGTGAGTGAATGGGTGAGGGAGTGGATGAATGAGTGATGGGGGTGAGTGAATGGGTGAGTGAGTGGATGAATGAGTGATGGGGGTGAGTCAATGGGTGAGTGAGTGGATGAATGAGTGATGGGGGTGAGTGAATGGGTGAGTGAGTGGATGAATGAGTGATGGGGGTGAGTGAATGGGTGAGTGAGTGGATGAATGAGTGATGGGGGTGAGTGAATGGGTGAGTGAGTGGATGAATGAGTGATGGGGGGGGGTGAGTCAATGGGTGAGTGAGTGGATGAATGAGTGATGGGGTTGACGTGAAGGGTGAGTGAGTGGATGAATGAGTGATGGGGTGTGAGTGAATGGGTGAGTGAGTGGCCTGAATGAGTGATGGGGGGGTTGAGTGAATGGGGGAGTGAGGGAGTGGATTGAATGAGTGATCGGGGTGAGTGAATGGGTGAGTGAGTGGATGAATGAGTGATGGGGGTGAGTGAGCGAATAGGTGGTTAAGTGAGTGAGTGGATGAGTGAGTGGATAAATGAGTGAGCGAACTAGTGCATAAAGGAGTGATGAGGATGAGTGAGCGATTGGGTGTTTGCGTGAGTGAGTGGTTGAGTGAGTGGATGAGTGAGCGAGTGGATAAACAAGCGATGAGGATGAGTGAGCGAATGGATGGTTGAGTGAGTGAGTGGATGAGTGAGTTGCTAAATGAGCAAACGCGTGGCTGTGCGAGTTGAGTGGATAAACGGGTGACGAGGAATGAGTGAGCGAATGCGTGGTTGAGTGAGTGGACGAGCGATTGAGTGAGATAATCACGCGGGTGGCTTTGTGAGTGAGTTCATGAGTGACTCTCTGCTTCTACAATTGAGGTTTCATCGTCGCCCCGTTGCGAGTTCGGCAGGCGAGAGGGCACCCACCTGGATGAGGGCACGGCGAGAGTCTGCGACGGCTGACTCGTGCTGGGCTGTGGAGAGGGCAGCGGGGGCAGCTTGATTGCCGCGCCGGTCCGGGAAGCAGGGCCCGGTGGCCCCTCTCCATCATCGCAGTCCACGTCGCGGACGCGCACCGAGGGCCGAGGTTGCCCCGCCGCGCCTGCGCGCACAGAGACACGTGCTTGCGTGGGCTTCCCTCGCCAACTTTAAACGGCGGTGATTTGCGAGCGAGGCGCAAGGTGCGCTCGCCCAAGCAGATCGTTGCCGGCTTTAAGGGATTGTGGCCCAATTTGACCCCTCCGTGGTTGAGGGCCGGCAGCGAGGGTGGTGACAACAAGGATCGTGCCTTCTCTCCCGAACGGGTTCGATTCCCAATGCGGGTGCCTCTCTGTGTGTGTGTGGAGTTTGTGCGCGCGCTCTCTCTGTCTGTGTATCCCCCTGTTCTGCGTGGGTTTCCTCCGGCTTCTGCGATTTCGTCCTCCCATAGATGAAAACAACAAAAAAACCCATCCAATGTAATTGGTATTGGCCGCAAAGCCCCATTCAAATGCCGGAATTATCCGCTGAAAATTACTCAATTTGGGTCGCCACGGTGGCTAGGTGATGTTGACTACCTTGCCTGGTATGCAGCAGGGCACGGGTTCAATCCCGACCCTGACGCCTGCTGTATATTTGGAGTTTGCGTGTCTCTCATCATCATTACCACAGTGACTCGGATATGTTAACTCCCTCGCCTGGTCTACAGGAGGTCGTGGGTTCAATCCCGGCCCTGACGCCTGCTGTATTTTTGGAGTTTGCGTGTCTCTCATCATCATTACCACAGTGACTCGGATATGTTAACTCCCTCGCCTGGTCTACAGGAGGTCGTGGGTTCAATCCCGGCCCTGACGCCTGCTGTATTTTTGGAGTTTGCGTGTCTCCCTCTCTCCCCCCCCCCCCCCCGTGATCGCGTGGATTTTCCTCCGGGTCCTCCGGTTTTCCCCTCTGCATTTCGAGTCAGTGTCACGCGGTTGGAATATATCTGTCTGCTGTAAATGTCCACGTGATAAGCCGCTTCGCTGAGCGATCATTTGAGACGGCCAGGTCGCTTCTGAAAAAAAATCTACGCAGCTCAGTGGGGTGGGGTAGGGTGGGGGGGGCTTACCTGGTGAAATGAAATAAAAACAAAATTAGTTTAGTTTATAATAAGCGGCATGCAAGAGAGCAACACAAACAAGCGAGCCGAGCTGTTTTGACAACAGCAGGCGAAGCTTACGAAACACCACCAGCCTTGTCTCTCAACACAACGCCAGCTGCATAAGCAGCAGTCGACAGCCTTAAATACCAAACCGCCCGGCCGCCGTTGTCTCCCCAGTGGCGATGTTTACACATCGGACCAGGCACTGTACTCATTTGAGGCTGAGTCGACCTAGGGGAGGACCCAGCAGGACCGGCACAAATGCACGCCACTGGTGTTGGTCGTGAGCAGGAACGGGACTCGGGTTTTGTTGGGCTCGCTAACGTAGCGAGCTAACCGATGTGCCACCGCTCCCCACAACACTCTACACGCACACAAATATATATACACACACAAAGACAAAGATCCCCCGTATAGTCCTAATATACTGTAGAGGGGCAAGTGCTGTTAGCGAGCAGCTATGAAGGCCGGCACAGCATACGAGGAGGTGGGTGGCCAGCACCACGCCCGGGCGCCTTCATCTCCCCAGTGGCGATGTTTACGCACCGCACCAGGTACTCATTTGAGGCCGAGTCAACCTAGGGGAGGCCCAGGACCGGTTCAGATAACCCGAGTCGCCAGGTTCGTAGCGCAGCGCGCTAACTGCTACACTACCGCTCCCCACACACACATACACACACACACAAACAATATATATACACGCACACGAATACACACACCGAGTATGCAAGCAAGCACCCCCTTGAATCCGGGCACACACACACACACAAATCAACTCGCTAAATACCTATATCGTTCCGACGACTGTCATCTCCTGCAGAAAACTGCTTTGTCCGCACGTGAGTGGTTGCGCAGCAAATAAATGAATCAACTATAAACTATGAATATATTTATTATTTTACCGGGTAATGTCCCGCTGTGATGTATAGCTCGTTTTCAGAAGCTTCCTGGCTATCACAAATGATAGCGAGTTCTGTCGGTATAGTGTGTATAGCAGACAAACACCGCCACGCCGATTATCTGCGACCTGACCACACTGAGTGTGAGATCGTAGTCAGTCTTCCAGCCACGAAGAACATTTGGGAAGCTTGGAGCGGCGTGCAGCTCATTGGCCGCCTGTAACCATCAATCATCCCGTGGGGTCGCGAGATGGCAGCGTGAAGGCAAAGAAAGGCGCATCCCCGCAATTGCTCGCTCCACTCCACTGCTGTCGGAAAGAAGGGGGTGGTGGTGGGGGCGGGCTCCACGAGAGAGAACTCTACAGAGCTCTTCTCCAGAGGGAACATCGGCCTACTCTTCCACGCTGGCGAGACGTCTTGCGACGTTGAACTTCTCTCGCAACCGCGCGAAGCCAACCGCGCCAATGGGAAGTTGCGCGCGGGGCGCCGGGAGGACATCGAACTGAACACGGCAAAGACGACGACGACGATGACGACAGCAAGCGGCTACTAAAGAAACGAGTGTGTCAATCTGGGCGATGATGATAAAGGTGCATGGCTCCCCAGTGGCTTCCTAGCGTCGGCGAGGGAAGGTGCCGCCTGCCTGCCTGAAAGCGCCGCGCGACGCGGTGGCAAGCGCACGGACACGCGGGGGCAGAGCGCCATGCACGCGGCAAGCATCGCCACGCGGCAACAGCAGCGGCAACAGCAGCGGCAGCAGCAGCGGCAGCACGCGTAGCGGGCAAGGGCTTCAGTGTTGTCTTGAGCATGGATATATCGTGGCCCGCATATAACAGGGTTGGTGGGAAAGACATATTCATAAAATTTTGGGGGGGAGGACGACCCATTCAGAAATTTGGGGGGGGGGGGGAGGTTGTTGGTGGGGACGATCAATTCAGAAAATTGGGGGGATGGTGGTTGGTGGGCGGGGGGGGGGGCGACAACCCATTCAGAGAAATTTGCCAAATCTCAAAAAACTGAACAGTGAACGGTGCCACGCTCCCGCGCAGCCACCGTGGTGGTGGCGAGATGTTAACTCCCTCGCCTGGTATACAGGAGGTCGTGGGCCGGTAAGCCACTGCCATGCCCGTGCTAATCCTACACAATTACGTGGTGACGCTGCTGCTGCGTCGGCGTGATGCACAATCAACAGACAACGAACAAGACGCGCCCCACACGTCCGTCGATTTCGCCGCGGCTTTTTAGAGAATGGCCACTTGTTTTTTTAACCATCGGTCCCTGATGTGGGCAATTGCCTCGAAACGTCGCCTGTTGTATACGTGTCCTTCCAAGGCCACAGAAACACACGCACACGGTGCCATCGACGGACGTGTTGAGTTTGTCATGAGAACCCCACGGTAAAAATCGAACATATAAAAGTTAAATAATATAAAAACGATGAATAATAAAAAAATGTCCAGGTAAGGCCGACTGAGCAATAACAGTTTTTTTTTGTCAGAAGCGACCTGGCGATCACAAATGATCGCCCAATGAAGTGGCTCATCGCGTGGATATTTACAGCAGCCAAATAGTCTAAACGCGTGACGTTGATTCTAAAACTTGGAGGTAAAAATCGGAGGACCCGGAAAAAAATCCTCGGCGACCACGGGGAAAGACACACCGCAAACTCCAAATATACAGCAGCAGGCGTCAGGGTCGTGATCGAATCCACAACCCCCTGTATACCAGGCGAGGTAGTTAACATCTCCTCGCCACCGCGACTAATCGGAGGTGCGGTTCTGAGTTTTAAACCACGGTAAGAGCCTCTTCGAGTCTCAAAAAGCCACTTTTTAATATTGTTCGCGAAAGCCTCTTGTCAGGATGGGGCCTGCCAAATATCGAGGCACCCGATCAGGGTCGTGAACGAACCCACGACCTCCTGTACACCAGGCGAGGCAGTTAACATCTCCTAGCCACCGCGATGCCCCCCTGCGTTCACGCACGACGCGTGGCTCCTCACTGCCCACCCTGACGGGACAGACTGCCCTCTCCTCGGTGGGGTGGTGGGGGATGGGTGGGGGGGTAGGTGTGATGGGGGGGTAGGTGGGTTGGGGGGGTAGGTGTGATGGGGGGGGTAGGTGTGATGGGGGGGGTAGGTGAGATGGGGGGGTAGGTGTGATGGGGGGGTAGGTGTGATGGGGGGGTAGGTGGGATGGGGGGGGTAGGTGTGATGTGGGGGGTAGGTGCGATGGGGGGGGTAGGTGTGATGTGGGGGGTAGGTGTGATGGGGGGGGGTAAGTGTGATGGGGGGGGGTAGGTGAGATGGGGGGGTAGGTGTGATGGGGGGGTAGGTGTGATGGGGGGGTAGGTGGGATGGGGGGGGGTAGGTGTGATGTGGGGGGTAGGTGCGATGGGGGGGGGGTAGGTGTGATGTGGGGGGTAGGTGCGATGGGGGGGGGGTAGGTGTGATGGGGGGGTAGGTGTGATGGGGGGTAGGTGGGATGGGGGGGTAGGTGCGATGGAGGGGGTAGGTGTGATGGGGGGGTAGGTGGGATGGGGGGGTAGGTGCGATGGGGGGGGTAGGTGTGATGGGGGGGTAGGTGTGATGGGGGGGGGGGTAGGTGAGATGGGGGGGTAGGTGGGATGGGGGGGTAGGTACGATGGGGGGGGGTAGGTGTGATGGGGGGGGTAGGTGTGATGGAGGGGGGGTAGGTATGATGGGGGGGTAGGTGCGATGGGGGGGTAGGTGTGATGGGGGGGGTAGGTGTGATGGGGGGGGGTAGGTGTGATGGGGGGTAGGTGTGATGGGGGGGTAGGTGTGATGGGGGGGGTAGGTGTGATGGGGGGTAGATGTGATGGGGGGGTAGATGCGATGGGTGGGGTAGGTGTGATGGGGGGGGGGTAGGTGTGATGGGGGGGTAGGTGTGATAGGGGGGGTAGATGTGATGGGGGGGTAGGTGCGATGGGTGGGGTAGGTGTGATGGGGGGGGTAGGTGTGATGGGGGGGTAGGTGTGATGGGGGGGTAGGTGGGATGGGGGGGTAGGTGGGATGGGGGGGGTAGGTGTGATGGGGGGGTAGGTGTGATGGGGGGGGTAGGTGTGATGGGGGGGGTAGGTGCGATGGGGGGGTAGGTGTGATGGGGGGGTAGGTGTGATGGTGGGGTAGGTGCGATGGGGGGGGTAGGTGTGATGGGGGGGTAGGTGTGATGGGGGGGTAGGTGTGATGGGGGGGTAGGTGTGATGGGGGGGGTAGGTGTGATGGGGGGGTAGGTGGGATGGGGGGGTAGGTGGGATGGGGGGGTAGGTGCGATGGGGGGGTAGGTGCGATGGGGGGGGGTAGGTGTGATGGGGGGGGGTAGGTGTGATGGGGGGGGTAGGTGTGATGGGGGGGGGTAGGTGTGATGGGGGGGGGGGTAGGTGTGATGGGGGGGTAGGTGTGATGGGGGGGGTAGGTGTGATGGGGGGGGTTGGTGCGATGGGGGGGGTAGGTATGATGGGGGGGTAGGTGTGATGGGGGGGGTAGGTGAGATGGGAGGGGGGTAGGTGTGATGGGGGGGTAGGTGTGATGGGGGGGTAGGTGTGATGGGGGGGGTAGGTGTGATGGGGGGGTAGGTGTGATGGGGGGGTAGGTGTGATGGGGGGGTAGGTGGGATGGGGGGGTAGGTGTGATGGGGGGGTAGGTGGGATGGGGGGGTAGATGGGATGGGGGGGGGGTAGGTGGGGTGGGGGGGTAGGTGTGATGGGGGGGGTAGGTGTGATGGGGGGGTAGGTGCGATGGGGGGGTAGGTGCGATGGGGGGGGGGGGTAGATGGGAGGGGAGAGAGAGGGGGGAGGTCACCTATCCTGTGCGACCACTCGTCGGCCGTGAAGGCGGCGTTGGCGATTCCGTTGCGGTCGTGAGCGCCGCGTGACCGGCGCTGCGGCGGCGGAGGAGGCAGCCGCGCCGTGGCGGGTCTCGGCGGCATCGGCGGCGGCGGCGTGGGAATGTTGGGCAGTTGCCCCGACAGCCACGGGGAGCTTGGGGCCGAGTAGCTGCTGTTGCCGCTGCTGCTATTGGCGTTGCCTGCCGGGGCATCTCTCACCAGGCGTGACAACTCCAGTCCCTTGCTGCCACGTGGCATGCTGCCGCTCGCTGCGTTTTCTTCTTCTCCTGCTGCTGCTGCTGCTGGTTGTTGTTGTTGTGGTAGAGGTCGTGTTGTTCCTCCCGCTTACACGAGACTTCTCCGATCGGATCCGCGTCGGAGATGCGGGCGGCTATTGGCAACCGCTCGCTCGGTGCCTAAAACCTAAAGGTGCAACCCGCTGGTATCGTGGTAGGGGCCACGTGACAGAACCTGTGGAGTTCCCAGCGGAGAGCACAAGGTTCGAAGTAGGCCAAGTGGTTCTTAAATTTTACTTGCAGACTCGCGCACCCCTGTGGTTTTCAAATCGTATTCTTTGGTTCTTTCGGTAAAGTCACGTAGGTATAAAATAAAATAAATGACGACGTTTCGGGCGCACCACGAGCGTCCGTCATCAGGTTTTTGCTTTCCCACCTGATGACGGATGCTTGTGTTGCGCCCGAAACGTCGTGATTTATTTTATTTTTCTACCTACGTGACTTTTACCGAAAGAACCAAAGAGTATGGATTCCTGCAGTCACGAAAGCTTCAAATCAAGATTTTCAAATCGTATTTTTTTAAAAGATATATAACGTCAATAGCTACATTGGGGTTTGATGAAACAAAGTAAGTTTTTATTTATTTAAAGCTTTCGTGACTGCAGGGATTCATATTCTTGGTTCTTTCGGTAAAGTCACGTAGAAGAAAAATAATAAAATAATAAAAATATTCTTTGTTTTGTATAAATATTATTTGTTTAATATTTATATTATTTTATTATTTCCCTTCTACGTGACTTTACCGAAAGAACCATTAATATAAAGTAAGTTGTTACTTTATTTGTGCTGTCCATGATTTACCTTCTAAAAAAACACATCTGGCCACGTCTCGCACCCCCAGAAAGGGCATCTCGCACTCCCAGGGGGAGCGGTGCCCCCCAGGTTAAGAAGAAGAAGACCCACTAATCTAGTGTATTGGCGGCTATACATTGCCACGTGATGAAGCCACTTCGTTGAGTTATCATTTGCGGACAGGTCGTTTCTGAAAAAAACAACTTTTTTATAGTTTAAGACGTAGGCTTTCGCGACCAATATTATTCATAATCAACCTTTTTGGGTTTAGATCGCGTTATTTATAAATGTGTCGTAACCCTCCAGCATCATCGGGCAATTCGCCAGAAACGTCGTACTCAAATTGTAAATGTTGTGGTTTCACGCTTCAACACACCGGTGGGCTAAAGCAGTGAACTATTTGTCTTTTGTCAACTTGACACTTTTTTACTGATTGGCCGTGTCGGGTGGTGGGGGTTTACGACACATTTATAAACAACGCGATCTAAACTTTTTTTTATAGCTCAGTGGGCCTTACACGAGGTTGCGTGGATTTTCTCCCCGGGTCCTGCGGGTTTTCCCTCCACACTTAGAATCAACATCGCGCGTCTAGACCAGCGGTTCTTAGCCTTCACTGCAGCCTTGCACCCCTTTGGTTCTCATTCGTTAACCGGTTTTGGAGACTAGGCTCTAAGAAAAGCTGTCTCGGGTGTGGACCAATCAACTTCAAGGACAGTGAATATCATTATCATCATCAGAGTTGTTTCTTTTTGTTTGCATTTTGACTTCTTGTGTTGAGGTTATTGCAAACATGATGCCTTGTATAAAGGTGTCTGTTTTTGTACCAGTTGAAAGGGTAAAAACCTATTACTACTACGGTTTTGGGGGTTTGTTGCATTTACCGGTAATCGAATAAACGACAGCCAGGTATGAGCCAAGAAAAATCGGTACAGCAACCGGTTTTGCACAGACACACACACGGACACACACACGTGTACATAACAATTCATGTCTATAAACGAAGGTGACGGCTGTTACCTGGCTTAAGCGGACACTCAGACCACCATTGGTTGTTTGAGAGCCTAATGCACCTCCGGTTAAATGATAATGATAATAATTCAATAAAGCGACGCAGCACAGACCGGACTCTCAATGGCAGAAACTCGCGAGATTGCGTGGTGGTGCTGGCTTCACATGGGAGCTGTTCGGGGCTGAGTCCGGAAAATACAACGGAAATCTGGGTGGTGTTGGTGGGGTGTTGGTGGTGCAAGTGGGGGCCGTTAGCGCGCTACCGCCCTGCGAACCCGGCGATCCAGAGTTCGAATCCCGCTCACGGCCACCGACACCGCCCTTCATCGACTCGGCATGCGCAAAGCATCGCCACTAGGGAGACAAAGGCGGCCGGGTAAAGAGCTGGCCACTCACCCCCCACCCCCTCACTTGCCGTGTCGTCCTTCATAGGTGCTGCCACCCGCTAACAGCACTCGACACGTGGAGGAGGAATCACGGGGCGTGCGGGAAGGCAGATAAGCAGCCACGCGGAGAGGAGCCGACGCTACCCAAAAATTGCCCAAGCTCTGCGGGCCTCGATATATCATCGTGTTTCGGCCTATTAATGAGTGTGTCTACCGCCCGCAGGAAAACCCACGCGCGTGCGAGGGGGTAACACTCTATCCCCGTACAGACGAAAGCAGGTGAAGTCCACCCATCGTTTCCCCTCGAGTCCCACTCACGGGGGGGGGGGGGAGGGAGTTTCGCGGACAGCATCTCTGTGCGTGATCCATCAACACTCGCAGCTGCCTCCGCAGTGGCTGGATCACAAGGCAAACCCCACGGCCCGGCAAAGTTTAAAAAGCGTTGTGCCACCACAGGCCCCCCTTCTCTTGAATGGTTCAGTGGCATCACGGGGCCTGTTTTTGCCAGTATGGACAAAAATAAGAATAGGTTTCGCCCTTTCTGGCAATATACAACGGGAGGTGCTGAGATGTTCGAACAAATACTCTTTGTTTTTTTAGGTGAAGTCACGTAGGTAAAAATAAAAAAAATAAAAAATCACGACGTTTCGGGCGCAACACAAACGTCCTTCTTCAGGAGGAGACAACGAGGCGTCGGCACAACAGCTTAAGTGTGTCTAAGAGGTGACTTTACCGAAAAAACCAAAGAGTATGAATCCTTGCAGTCACGAAAACTTCAAATCTAGAATGTTCGAACGCCAAATAGAAACCTTTTGCGAGGAATCAAGTTGCTGCATTCACCACGCACGGTACCGGTGTTGAACATGCAAACAAAAGGGGCCGTCCATAAATGACGTCACGCGATTTTGGACAATTTTTTACCGCCCCCTCCCCTTTCGTCACACGGCGTCACAAAAAGTCAGAACCCCCTTCGAATATAACATCACAAAACTCTGCCCCCCCCCTCCCCCCAAAAAAATAAAACATGCTTAAAATCGCTTTAAACTATTGTCATTGTAGTGCGTATTTAATGTGGCGCTGCACTCTGATGTTGTAGGAGAAAACATTTATGAAAAAGTCTATTTAACTAAGTAGAACGTGTTGTCTATATTTATTTGAAATTGCGCATTTTGATGTGACGTCACATTTCTCACCCCCCCCCCCCCTTCGTCACACATCGTCACAAATATTTGACCCCACCACCCCTAGGTGCGTGACGTCATTTATGGACGGCCCCAAACATGCTCTGATAATATATGATGCGTTGTCTTTGCAACTGATTGGCCTACACCAGAGGCAGCCTTCTTTATGGCATCGCATTCATAGCTCGGTGTGAGCAGCTTTTTCATCGATTATTATTATTATCATCAGAGGATGTTTGTATTCCATGTTCACCACAGGTACCGCGTGTGGTTAATGCAGCAACTTGAATCCTTGCAAAAGGTTTCAATGTGGTGTTTGAACATCCGAACAAAACTCCGGTTTCATTGCCAGCATAGGTAAAAACAATTTTTATTTTTCATACACTTTGATACTGGCAAAAGGTATCCCATGATACAGCTGCTGCTCACCCCGAGATTTAAGCGCTCTGATAGCGGCATTGTTTTTGTGCTGTTCGCCTTTTGTGGTTGTTCTCCGGTCTGACACTGACGGTGAGACTGGGCCATGAAGGAGTCTCTGGTGTAGGGCAATCAGTTACAAAGACAACGCATCATTGATCATTTCCAAATCATGTTCGCCACAGGTACCGTACGCGGTCAATGCAGCAACATGAATCCTTGCAAAAGGTTTCAATTTGGTGTTTGAACATCCGAACACAACTCCGGTTTCATTGCCAGCAGGGGGTACAGCTGCTACTCGTATTTGCCATGCTGGTTCCAGTCGCGTTTGGGATTTCTTTAAGCGCACCACGCAACGTGCAGTAAACCGACCTCGCGTGTTTGTTATGATAATGAAACAAATAAAGAAATATATACCTGGATACCCCGCCTCTGAATTAGCCTGGTATTTGAAAACACGCTTGTGCATTCGTCGTTCGCGTGCTAATCTACACGCCGAGCAAACCCTTTTTATTTTCGTGCGATATGAATCATGACGCTCTGCCATCTTTAAACAATAAAACATTTAAATGCCACCGTCTGACACAGAAGAAACGAACGGTCAAAGTCTGCAACTCTGCCGATTGCGATCAAATCTGATGCCCGCAGTATGGGATTGTGGGTGGGTGGGTGTGGGTGGGTTTGGGTGAGTGGGTGTGGGTGCGTGTGTGTGGGTGGGTGGGGGTGGGTGTGAGTGGGTGGGTGGGTGGGGGTGGGTGGGTGTGTGTGTGTGGCGGTGGGTTGGTGTGGGTGGGTCAGTGTGTGTGGGTGGGCGTGGGTGGGCGTGGGTGGGCGTGGGTGAGCGGTGGTGTAGCGGTTAGCGCGCTGCGCTATGAACCTGGCGACCCGGGTTCGATTCCCGCTCACGGCTAACACCAGTGACGATTATCTGAACCGGTCCTGGGCCTCCCCTAGGTCGACTCAGCCTTAAATGAGTACCTGGTGCGGTGTGTAAACATCGCCACTAGGGAGACAAAGGCGGTCGGGCGTGGTGCTGGCCACCCACCCCCTCGTGTACCGTTCCGGCCTTCATAGGTGCTCGCTAACAGCACTTGCCCCTACAGTCTGTTCAGGCTATACGGGGGAGCTTTTGTGGGTGGGCGTGGGTGAGTGGGTGTAGGTGTGGTGGGTGGGTGTGGGTGGGTGGGTGTGGGTGGGTGGGTGTGGGTGTAGGTGGGTGAGTGTGGGTGGGTGTAGGTGGGTGAGTGTGGGTGTGTGTGTGTGGGTGAGTGAATGTGGGTGTGTGTGTGTCGGTGTGTGTGGGTGAGAGTCACTTAGAGCCACTCCATTGCTGCTAAGCAATTGGCGCAAGCGACCCGCGACGCCTTGAAGCCACTTTGGCCGACTCGATCAAAGAGACGTCTCCGAAGACGCCGGAGTTAACTGCAGCGCCCTTTAACCCAGCGGTCATCAACATTTACTGCAGCCTTGCACCCTGCTTTGGTTCTCATTATACAAACATTATTTTTTAAATAATGTTAATTAATGCATAGGGTTTGATGGAAGCAAAGTAAGTTGTTACTTAACGTGACCCGAAATTAATTTGCGTCGTCGATGATTTACCTTCTAAAAAAAAACACCTGGCCACGTTTCGCACTCCCAGGGGGTGCGGTGCCCCCCCCCCCCCCCCCCCCCCCCAGTTTAAGAAGAAAAAGAAGACCCACTTGTCTAGTGCATTGGCGGCGATACATTGCCACGTAATAAAGCCACTTCGTTGAGTTATCATTTGTGGCCAGGTCGCTTCTGGACAAACAAACTAAACTTTTTTTATAGCTCAACGGGCCTTACACCCTTGGTTGCTTGGAGTTTCTCTCCGGGTTCTCCGGGTTTTCGCCCGGTTAAGAAGAAGCGCTGCTTTAACCGCACCATGCGCGACCTCGTGTGTCGACCGACTAACCGTGATTGTACCGAATGATCTTCTTGGTTCTTTCGCTAAAGTCACGTAGAATGGAAATAATAAAATAATAAAATTTAAACATAATAGAATACAATTATCACGAAGTTTCGGCCACGCTGTCTTTCCGACAAACTTGTTCTTCACCTGAGGACGGCTGCTTGCGTTGTGGCCGAAACGTCGTGAGAATTGTATTTTATTATGTTTAAATTTTATCATTTTATTATTTCCCTTCTACGTGACTTTACCGAAAGAACCAAGAAGATGAATCCCTGCAGTCACGAAAGCTTTAAATCGAAATTGTACCGAATGACTTTGCATGCTGGGGGAAGGGGGGGATGTGTGGTTAGGATTTAGATAGGCCTGACCATTGTTTCAACTGCCGCGCCCGGAGATCGTAGCGAGCTGGCGGCCATCCGGATTGCAAGCGTAGACCACGACGCATCAACGCGTTTGCGTTCGGGGGACAGAGGCATCCACTCACCCTGATGCTCCTGTGTTGAGGTGGTAGTGGTCCTGGCATCTTCAGAAGAGCCACTTCTGTTTGCCTCCTTCGGCATCACAACAACAACAAGAAGAACAGAGGCAACAGCAAACATTGTCATTTGCACGCGGGAGGATGCTTTCGATAAAATGTGCGTACGCTGAACTTCTTTCGCACCGTACGTAGCCAACCAATGATCAGGCACTGACTCATTCACTCCAGCAGTCACTCACCGTCGGTCAATCGCCGCCCTCTTATCGCTCTCCTATCAAGGTCACTGATCCAGAGAAACTCACTCGCCGATTCGTCCACCCGTGCAGGTGGATCGGTCGACGCTTCGTCTCGTCCACCACACCGAGTTCATTCGACCACCGCACCGCACCGCACCGCACCTCACCACACCACACCACACCTCACCACACCGCACCATACCACACCACACCGCACCACACCATACCACACCACACCACAACGCACGTGTCACACGGCGCGAGGAGCCGCTCCGGCCTCATCCCATCGGCACCGTCGTTTGCTGACAACGAACCGAGGCAACGGCGGCCGGCTTCCGTCACCATGACTACCGATAATCGTCACCATGACTACCGATAATCGTCACCATGACTACCGATAATCGTCACCATGACTACCGATAATCGTCACCATGACTACCGATAATCGTCACCATGACTACCGATAATCGTCACCATGACTACCGATAATCGTCACCATGACTACCGATAATCGTCACCATGACTACCGATAATCGTCACCATGACTACCGATAATCGTCACCATGACTACCGATAATCGTCACCATGACTACCGATAATCGTCACCATGACTACCGCACCTGCCACTCTTCAATTCGTCACGTCTAAATGAATGGGAGGGGGAGAGAGTAAAACACATAATCTTGTCCCCCCCCCCCCCCACGCAGAGTGAGATCTAAGTGACAAGGGGGGGGGGGGGGTTGTTGTTGTTGTGTTGGCAGCAATCGGTGGCATTTTACTCACAGCTCGCGCCTCGCAGCACGAGGAGGCCTGGGTTCGACTCCCGAAGCTTGCCACCCGTTGTCACAACGACTGTCGCGCCCGGAGATCACAAATCGAATGTAACCGGCGAGCCCTTTGAGCTGCGTCTCAAATGTTAAAGGTGCAATCCCTACGATGTGGGGCTTGTTTAATTACAGACAGGGTCGTCCATAGCCTGGGGCAAACCTCGCACGGTGTGGAGTCCCGGGCGGTCCACCTTCACTACCAACCCCAAAGTGCGGGGCCCGGGGCGGTCCTCCCCGATTCGCCCTGTACCCTATGGGCGATTCTAATTTACAGCCCACCAGAGGGTACCACCACCACTACCAATACCACCACCACCCACCTATTACCACCACCACCCACCACCTCCACCACCACCCACCCATTACCACCACCACCCACCCACTACCACCACCCACCCATTACCACCATCAGCCACCCACCACCACCACCCACCCACTACCACCACCCACCCATTACCACCACCACCCACCCACCACCACCACCCACCCATTACCACAACCACCCACCACCACCAACCACCATCACCACCAACCACCACCACAACCACCACCCACCACCACCAACCACCACCACCCACCCACCATCACCCACCCATTACCACCATCAGCCACCCACCACTACCACCGACCCATTACCACCATCACCACCAACCACCACCACAACCACCACCCACCACCAACCACCCACCACCACCAACCACCCACCACCACCCACCAACCACCACCACCCACCCACCACCACCCACCACCACCAACCACCCACCACCACCCACCACCACCAACCACCCACCACCACCCACCTACACACGTGGGGTTGACGCCTGACATGGACGCGTGGCCAAACTGAACAAGAGCAGGCGACGTCTCCGTCTATCCACGAGGATTTCCTCACGCAAACACAAACCCTGCCCTGCGGTGTCCTGGGAGTGGGTCGCCTTCCAGGTGCGTCGATTCAGTGCGGGGCGAAAACTCTGGAGCGGTTCCCACATGCAGCGTCTCATCGCAAGGCCGTAGCCATGGAGTCAACATTGGGGGGGTACCAAATCTTTCAGGGGGTCTGCCCCCCCCCCCCCCCAGAAAAAAATCTAAATTTGAAAACTAATTTCCTGCAATTTCCTGCCTAAAATATTAAAAAGTTCACTAACACATGGGATGGGCTTTTGTAATTATTTTTACAATGTCTAATAGTGTATTGTATTACATTGCTGTTTATTCTTTTTTTTACCTTTTCTTGTTTCATTGTATGTGATGGCAGAGATTAGGGATCCATAAAGTACAACCATAACCACAATCATATGAACAGAAATCTATGCATCGATTTATATGAAGACAAGTCCAGATATTGTGGTCAAGGTTGAGCTAATTGTTGTTTTTATTTACATAGCATCGCAATTATTATTTTTACAAAAATTTTTATAGAAAAAAATTGGGGGGGGGGGGACATTTTGAGCATATTTTATTATTAGGGGGGGGTGTCGTCCCCCCACCCCCAATATATATGATAATTACGCCCTGGTCTCATCAACAGGGCCAGGCTGGCTCGAAACGAATGCTGGTTGTGAAATGCCGGCTGTGTCTAAGGCGAGGAGCCTTACACGTTCGATATGAGTCCATGGTTTAGCGCGGCGTTACGTAACGCATGATGCAACGGTCTCATAGCAACCAGGTTCAAGTCGCCGTCTCATAGCAACCGAGTTCAAGTTGCCGTCGCATAGCAACCGGGTTCAAGTCGCCGTCTCATAGCAACCAGGGTCAAGTCGCCGTCTCATAGCAACCGAGTTCAAGTTGCCGTTTCATAGCAACCAGGGTCAAGTGCCCATCTCTTAGCAACCAGGTTAAAGTTACCATCTCATAGCAACCAGGTACCAAGTCGCCGTCTCATAGCAACCAGGGTCACGGTATCAGTGAGAATGGGAAAGCGGGGGCTTAGAGTAAAGCCTTGCGTCTTGTCTGGCAAGACAAAGACCAAGATCCCCCCTATAGCCTTAACAGAATGTTGGGGCAAGTGCTATTAGCGAGCAGCCCCTATGAAGGCTGGGGCGGACGGCACACTAGGGGGCTCGTTGGCCAGCACCACGCCCGGCCGCCTTTGTCTCCCCAGTGGGCGATTTTTACGCACCGCACCAGGCACTCATTTGAGGCTGAGCCGACCTAGGGGAGGCCCAGGACCGGTTCAGAAAATCGTCACTGATGTTGGCCGAGAGCGGGAATCGATATTCGGGTCGCCGGGTTCGAAGCGTAGCGCGCTAACAGCTGCACCGCCGCTCCCTCACTCTTAACACCCACACAACACGGAATCGTCAATAGCACTGTGTGTGTGTGAGCTCTAGCGAAAACAAAAATATAATAGGCGACGTTTCGGGCAATGACCTTCTTCACAACACACACATCACACCACAGCACGTTACATCTGTACCACGCGGCACATTCCGCCGGTTTTGTATCGACTCTCGTCCCTTTTCGCCATCACCTTTTTTTGTTATTCTGATCTTGTTATTTGTAAGTAAATAAAAAAAACCGTAACATACCACGGTGCAACTTGCTTTAATGATCCCCGTAAAAATGCTACCGCGGTAACCTTGCTGTCACACAGGAAAAGAAAAAAATCCAATAGCCCAGTGGGCTCTACCTGGTCAAATAAAAATATAGTTTGGTTTAATTTCTTGTCTTCTCTGTAACGTGTGCACTCCTATCGTCTCTTTGTACCCTTTGTTGTTGTAACGTTCTCACGCCGTGTGCCCCTACAGGGCATCAGTGAAAAAAAATTGCTTCGTAGCTTTCTCCTGCAGAAAACACATTCCTGTGGAGGGAGCTGGTAGGAACGTTGGGTTGCTCGGTCAATGGCCTGCAGGGTCAACGGCGGCGTGGTGTATTCCGCAAATATGCCTGACTGTGAGGGCGGGCACAAGCCGGCGTGAGTAGGTTAAACGTTGAGTTTTATAAGGGCACCACGGGGTGACCAGCCCCTCCCCACCCAGCCCCACCCTCCCCACCCCTCACCCAGCCCCACCCTCCCCACCCAGCCCCTCCCCACCCTCCCCTCCCCACCTAGCCCCTCCCCACCCTCCCCTCTCCACCCAGCCCCACCCCTCATATTTTTGGTATCACAACGGACGGACGGACACAATAATCTCCTGTGGGCTGGTGGTTACCAGGTGGTTCCTACCAGTATAAACGAAGATTCGGATTCCGCCTGCGGTATTCATCTTCACAACACTGCCAAACGCGCAAGACGCAGCTTCTCTCATACACTAGAGGCTTGCATTTTTCAGCAGGCAGCCTCATTAATAACTCATGCACGCGTTCAATAATTATGAGAAGGAGAAGAAGGATAATAACCGTCAGGCTCTGGTTAAAACCAAAGGCAAAATAAATAAATCATAGCCGTGCAATGCGTTTTAATCACCGGTTGATGTGTGTGCGTCGGTGAAACCCTTGCATCTGCAGGGCGGTTCATCTTCTTGGTTCTTTCGGTAAAGTCACGTAGAAGGGAAGTAATAAATAAAATAATAAGAATAAATATAATAATTATTTTATTATGTTTTATTTTTATTATTATAATATTATTATTATTTTATCACCTGAGGACGGCTGCTTGCGTTGTGGCCGAAACGTCGTGAGAATTGTATTTTATTATGTTTTATTTTAATTATTTTATTATTTCCCTTCTACGTGACTTTACCGAAAGAATCAAGAAGATTAATCCCTGCAGTCACGAAAGCTTTAAATCGAAATGCTGGGCGGTTGTTATAGACGTGACGAGCTTGCGTAGGAATTCGTGCCGGGCGCGGCAGTTTCAGTGGATGGGGCAAGCTTCTTGATATCCACCACTCACTCCGCTTCTGCTCATCCAACACGAGCGGAAATAAACTCCAAACTCTTTTTTTATTTCACCAGATGAGGCCCACTTTAGCGAAATAGTTATTTTTTTTTCTTTCAAAAGTGACCTGGCCATCACGAATGATATCTCAACGAAATCGCTTTTCACGTGGACATGCACAGCGGCCAAATACTCTAAACGCTTGAGGTCGATTCTAAATGTGGTGGAAAAAACCAGGGGAACCAAAGATACCTGCAAACTCCGAATATACGGCAGGCGTCAGGGTCGGGATCGAGTCCACAACCTCCTGTATACCAGGCGAGGTAGTTAACATCTCCTAGCTAATCGAAGGTGCGGTTCTGGGTTTTAACCCACGGGGAGAGTCTCGCCGAGTCTCAAAAAGCCACTGTTTGATATTGCTCGCGAAAGCCTACCTGTTTATTCTAGATTTGTTCTAGATTTGAAGCTTTCGTGACTGCAGAGATTCATACTCTTAGGGTTTTTCGGTAAAGTCACGTAGGTTAACAAAAATAATAATGAAATAAAATAATAATAAATGAGAATAACTAAATTAAATCACGACGTTTCGGAGGC